AACGCCAAGTGTCAGTTAATAACTAGCTATGGTGATGATTTTTTAGCAGAGGTTAGGTTCATGTACTGTTCTACAATCATTTCAGGAGATAAGTCGGTATAGTACCCGGTTTCTACATCCAATCCTTCTTGTTCTGCCAACATCTCAACCAAACTCTGCACCCTATCAGCTCCAATCCGGTTAGGCTCCAACAACATGCAAGCTACTTCAGTGGAATCCCCACAAACAATCCCGAGTGTTTGCACCATAGGAAGTCCGCCACCACGAGTGCTAACCTTCCTGGCAATCCTTTTTGCTGCTGATACATCGCTCGATAAGAGTGGTACGTTGTAGAGTGTGACCCAAGATTGCGCACCGATCGTCGAGATTCCTTTGGATTTTGAAACAACCATAGGACCTTTGTCTGGTGTTTGAGGTAGGATATCAGGAATAGTCCACCCTGCCCATTGGTTTCCCATGAAATTAGGCCGGTAATATCCGAGCTCTCGTCTTATTGTATCAAGTTGTTTCCCTGTCGGATGTGCAGCCGCATAAAGAAATACAGGTACTGCATTTTCACATACAAATAAATGTAATGCAAGTGTCAAATAAAAAATCAGCATATCCGAATTCATTATGTTCTATGATTTAATTCCTTGTGACTTACCATTGAACTGGTTGCCAATGTCTGCCGCCACAGCTTTTGCCAACCACGCGGCATCATCCATTGATGCACGAGCAAGTGGATGGAAAACAATGTCATCAACTGCACCTAAACGGGGGTGAGCCCCGTCTTGCAATTCAAGGTCGATGGCATTGAATGCAGCCTCGGCCATGGCCACGACACTTTGATGCAGGGGACTGTATATGACATTTCCTGTGGAATCATGCAAAACATACGAAACAAGGTTGTACCTTGCCCTGTTGTAAGTTCTATCATGAAATTTATTCACAATGACGGTTTCTGAGTTCGACCTCGCTGCTCGTTCAACTGCATCAAGAGTAGCAGTGTTTCGTCCTTCCGAGATAAAGAACTTGCAGCACAGTAGCATGGATTGGTCAACCATTTTCTTTTGCTCCTACACAAATAGTAAAAGAGGGAAATAAAGATTGTTTAAATGTAAGAAAAAGTTTATGATATGATCATCATAAGTTGTTTCTAATTTTATATTCATAATATCATTTATAAGCAAACAAGAAGGAGGTATCCCCACAGTCCCACACCATGTGAGTCACTGTCAGATGCTATTATTATTATTATAACAAAAATAGTTGTACCACAAAAAATGAGCACATATTCTTATCCACAATTTCTAACACGTGACTTTTTTAGCCAGATATTCAATAATTCAAGTAGGTTCTAAAGGATAGATTAAATAACACATTCAAAGAAGAACATGATTGAAGTAATAAACTTATCATCTATGGTTTACTGTTAACCTGAATTGGCACTAGCAGTAACAAATTAGTATAATCTATGTGTTTAATCAGTTAACTAATCAATAAAACTGGAACCAGCAGTAACAAATTAGTGTCTAATGAGATAAAGAAAAAGATAATGAAAGAGGTTTTTTGTTTCTGACCTTGGTAGTATAATTCAAAGCCATGGTGATCTTCTTCCTACAGCTGCAACCTGTGCTTAAAAAAATGGTTGGAACTCGTGTACAAGGTGGGGAGTTTTATATGGAACTATCATTTTTATATGCTACCCTCCAAATATAATTTTGTCTCCACGTGGCACCACGTCAGCCATTATCATCATAGAAGAAAACAACAAGTTCCTTCCAAAATTGCATGAATCACATGTTGCTTATGAAGTCGGAGACAATTACAGCAAAAAAAATTCTCAAGAGATTTGACTACGAAGCATTCAGAGGCCTAAACTCTAATCCAAAATCTCTAGTTAAGCCAGAAAATTCTTGTAATATAATAATGTGAGTTTGATTCAAGAAAAAGTTTTCTAGATTTTAAATTCATCTCTCATTTCTCACTTTAAAAGTTTCTTATAAAAAAACAACTTCATATCGTGTGACAGAATTGTAGTGTTAAATATAATAATCTCACAATAGAGAGCATTCTGTCCTTTTCAATAGACGCTTAAAAAAGTTTAGTTCAATGTTACTCTTTTTTTTATTTTTTATTACTTACCCAACACGTAAGCCCACTGAATAGATTACGCAAATCCATAGAATTGGACCCTCTTAGCTGTTTATGCTAATTTTAATTAGCACAAGTTAAATATACAACAATACAAACCTAAACCAACCACTGCACTATTCCATCTTAAACTGTACAATAAGATCAAAGTTTTTTGGTTATTGACAATGACTGATTCAATGTTGCATAGCAGAGCTAATTTTGTTCATGGGATAAAGTTTGACAATTGTCATGTTAAGCTGGATTTAAGATGATCAATGGGGAAAGCCACTCACAGTAATACAGATCATGTTAGACAGAAAATGTTAAACAATAATGCCTAATGTAATAGTTGTGACATTTGACTTCTAACATTATTATTAGACACCGGCTTTGTAAAAAAAAAGTTACAATGAATCCAATAATGCGACAAATCATGTATTTTCAACCGGTTAAATGACGTGATACAGTATATCATCTGATACATGTATAAAACTTTTTAATATTATCAGCGTATATAAATTAAATCATTTATAAAATTAAGGGAAATTTGACACTGGAATGAAAATTCACCAGATGCCAAAAAACCTTCTCAGTACATGACAGTAATTTTCCTACATCAAATTCTCTCTTCAAACAGATTCAAATAACTTTCAACAATTTCTTCCTGTGAAAAGTCTGTGTAGTATCCCTTTTCCACAGAAATACCTTCTTCCTTTGCAAGGAGTTCAATTTCATGCTGCACTCTTTCACCACCAACATTCTTTGGATCCAACAAATTACAAGCTACTTCAATTATACCTTCACCGTGTGTAAGTGCCATGGCCTGTACCGAAGCGAGCCCTCCACCTCTTCCACTAATCCGTTTTGCAATTCTGCGAACGGCACTGATATCAGAAGATAACAGAGGGACATTATAGTTATCAACCCAATTGGTTGCTCCAATGACCACAACGCCTTTTGACAGAGTCACTTGAGATGGACCACTATATGGTTTCAGCGGCAAAGTGTCGGATTTGGAGACCCCAATCCATTGGTTTTCGCTAGAGTTTGGCTTGAAATAACCAAATGCTCTTCTTATTGAATCAAGTTTCATCCCCTCTTCGTGCGCCGCTCCGTATAAGAAAGTAGGAACTGCAGGTAGTTTTGATGATCATTGATGTGTAATTGAACTAATTTAAAAATATGAGACTTTTTCATAAATAATCACTTTTGTAGTGTACAAAATGGTGATCATGAAATTCATCATGTGCAAATATGGAAATATCCAACAAAATGAGTGATTTTGGTCATGAAGTGCAAAATCAACTAATGCAAGATCAAAATCTAAGACACATAATAAAATATAATACAAAGCGATCCTTTCGTGCTACTACGACTGACCTTGTAGCTTAGAACCCATGTCAGAAGCTAAACACCTCGCAGTCCTAGCCGCTTGATCCAACGAAGCATCAACCAAAGGGTGAAAACATATATGATCCGCCACTCCAAGTCTAGGATGAGTTCCACTATGAAGCTCAAAATCAACAGTATCAACTGCAGCCTTAACCATAGCCAACACAGCATTTGTCAAATGACAAGACTGTTCAGAGGGCACCGAACCTAACTCAGAAACAAGTGTGTAACCAACTCTATTGTAAGCTGCATCTTCAAACTTGTTAACTATAGGTGCTAAGGGAAAAAGCTTCGCAGCTCTTTCAATTGATTCCAATGCACTCTTGTTTCTGCTCTCTGATATATATACTTTGCAGCAACCTAGAATTGACTTCAACATTTTTTTTCACTTTGTAAATCAACACTGAAACTGTTCAGCATTGTGGAATCAGAAAACGGTACCACAAAACATGTTCCTTAATCAATTTACACCACAAATACATCAAGAAATAAAACCTTATCTAAATATATTGTGGAGTACCAAACTAGGTGGTCCACAATAGAGCATGTTTTATAACCATTGGATCAAATATGTGTATGGATCTCACTGTACAATCATCCATACCATATTATTTTTACTAACAGTGCATTGAGAATATATTATAGCTTTCATATACTCTTTTACGGATCTATCATCGATGTCATCTCCTACATCTTTGAATCTAAAACCATATGAATCATTTAGCAAACAACAATTACAATGAAAACAATGACAGAATGAAGTTTCAAGTTTTATCGGAAGTAAATCAGGGAGAGAAAAAAATTAGGATTAAAATAAAATAAGTTCATGCTAACATGTTCACTAAAGTCACGTGTTAAGTATACTATAATTAAAAAAATTTAAATATGATTAAATTTAATAAAATCATATTTAAAGTTTCAAAATATTGAATGCATGTATTTTAAGAGAATATTTCTACAAATTTTATTTTAAAGCACATGTTAGATTTTTTTCATAAAATACAATAAGAATACCATATTCAGTTCAAGTCGGAAAAAAAACAAAGAACCTCGATTCTCACAAATCAGAAACACAAAAATTGTTTTTTGGTTTTTGTGGACTAGTAAAAAATTATGGCCCAATGGACTCTGCTATGATAAATCATCAAAAGAAAACACTTTCTACACTCCCAATGACTACGATATCCATAAAAAACACTAAAAAAATTCACATTAAAATTTCCTGTGCAAACACACTCTAATTCATGTTGTTCAAACACACTTTTAGATCAATTCTGTTTTTGGAAAGTAAAATTGGACATTTATGTCATCTCATATGGTTTTAGTAAACCAATCTACATGTTATAGGTTTGATCTGAGGATCAGGTATACAATTACAAAACTAACAATATCAGCAACATATAAGTCGATCTATATTTTTGTTGGTTAAAATTTCTACTAGTAGTTTATACAAAGATATCTCATATGTGTCAGTTTTGCTGATCTATTATCTACGTAAGAAACTTATGATTGTGCAGTAATCTCTTGTTCTCTAGTAGTGATTGTTGCAGTTGATATTTCCTTTTCCAATCTTCAAATTGAATGAGGCTGCACTTTACACTTGTTTCTTGACGCTGTCAACATAAATAGTGATAAAAATCAACCATACATTAATGAAGTAAAGTAAGGATTTCATGTCTAATAAGCATACAAGCACTGAAGGCACATAATGTTAACAATACCTCAAAGACAGATATGGTATGCAAAAGATCATAAAACTCTTCTAAAAGTTGCTTCTCTTGTGTGACAACTTTTGCCAAATCTGATAGTATTGCAGCAGTCTTGTCTGCCTGTTAATAGAGAAACTTTCCCATATGAATGCAGTTCTCATAGATGATAAAAGAGAAATGATATGATACACACAATTTGACAACATTTTGAATGGTTAGCGCAAATCAAATATATAGTTAATTATATAAGGTCCGTAGTTAATGGGTATATTAAATATTAAAACTCATTCACCACCAATGCAACTACATTAATCATGAATTTCGACATAGTTAACCATAATTTTCAGCTGTTCAACAAAATGCAGATTTGAATACTTGAAATTGTGGTTAATCACATCTAAATTGGTGGTTAGTGAAGTTACATTAATATTAATGAACTTTGGTATTTGTATTGTACAATCCGACGAGTTGAGTTGGACCCAAACCTGGACTCAAGAGAGCCCGCCCCAGTAGCATTCTAACAAATTCAGAGCATTTGGGATCATATATATACTGGTAACCATTAAAAGTGAAAGACAGACTTTTCATATAGGATATAATCTTGGGACTTTGATTGGCCCTCGCTACCAGAGTTATCAATCAATGTATTTTACGTGTACATGTATATTAGTTAATTGTCTATTGAACTTAACTATTCATATTTGAGTTGAATTAACCACTTAAAATGTTGTACGAAATTTGTCTAAATTTTCCTGTTGAAATAACAGCTATAGGTAGCAAAATGACTGTCACAATATATTACAAAACTTACTGCAGGTGAAAAAGAAGATAATATTGACTTCAAGGAAGTTGTGAGCTCACAAACATGACGAATAGCAATGGATGTAGAATGTATGTTCACCTGTAAGTTAAGCATACAAATCGTGTCATGATCACTTAGACTATACATCCATATAAAAAGTTTCATTGCACATGTCTAGAGTAAAGAGACATTTTAATCATTGAAATTTAACAGTTGATCAATTTAGCTCATTAAATTGAAAAAACCATTTAGACTCTTTACAAGACATGTCTATGTACCTTAGCACCTTCCAAAAGAGGAACTCTGCACACAACAGAATGCAAACACTCTTTGGTGGAAGTAATCATCGATACATGCTGCCTTTCCATGCTTCCCCAAGCTTCCAACAACTTCAACTGCCAAAAACATCAAATACATCAGTTAAGAATGAATTCATTGCAAACAAATTGGTATATTGATATTAGTTAGACTAATTTCACTACTTACTTGATCATACAATATAAAAGCTATCTTCATTTCAAGCTTTTCTCTTGCAAACTGTATCTTCTTTTTCATAATAGAAATTCGGAACTTTGCGAGACCATCCCATACCGAAATCAAATTGTTCTATAAACATTGAGAAAACCAAAAAAATGTTAGCTCAATTTCTCATTTGATATAAAGATCACATAAATAAAAGAGAGTTAAACATGCATTTGTAAGATAAACTTTGTTTTAACCAGCCTATCAAAATAGTTTATGAAATCTCTATAAACCAGTTCAATTTATTTCAATAAGCTCTCGAGATATATCATGAAAACAACTTATAGTTATGTGAATTCGTCAAATATGCGAGCCAAACATTTGTACCTCGGCGTGGTGAGAAATGTCGGCATTCACAACTCCTGCTTTAGCATTTGCAAATCGCCATTGACTCAAACGGTTTTCGAGCAAACGAAGCTTATGAACGTCTTCATTATTTCCAAAACCAATCGACGACGACACATTAAAGCCACTAGGTTTTTTACTTTTGAAGAGATCAAAACCAAAGTTGATGAGTTTTTCAACTCCTTTCGCCTTTGTCGAACTCGATATCTCAGACCTACCGGGCGACAACGCCCATTGTGATTTCGAACTTTTATAAGCTATCGAATTGGTCCTTTTAATCATCGGTCTCACCAAGTCGCCGCTCAAATTTCCAATGTTTGAATCAGAAGCTCCTCTTCTCGATCTTCTCATTGCTGCATCACTCAAGAACCTTGAAGGAGCTTCCACCCCTGCCTTTCTTGCCGGAGAAACCGAAACCAAAACCTCGTCACTCATGAACCTTGAAGGAGCTTCCATCACTGCTTTTCTTACCGGAGAAACGGAAACCAAAACCTCATCGCTCGATTCAGTATCAATAGAACTAGTTAAGCTTGAGTTTCCCTTTGAAGACAATAGTTTCGTATTCTTATCTAAGGAAAATCTACCCGGGACAATGCCTGAACCATTATTAGAATTAAGCTTCTTCAATGAAGAAGACGAAGCGAGTTTTCCGGTGTATCTCACAGAACCACCGTTTTCTCTACTTTCATCGATTTCAAATCTTCTAAACTCCCTGTAACTCTTTTGTGAAAGAGTGAAACTATTTTTGTGGTTTTTGTTTTTCTCATTTTCTTCAATGATTCTTTCTTCGGTGATGTGATCAGCGAGTGAGCCGGAGTTGTTGTTTTTCGACCTAGAAGGCCAGAGTTGACGGCGCAAAACTGATTCTTCAAATGTTTTGTTTCTACCATCTTCGTCGGAGCTTCGAATCGACGGTTTACGTATGACGGAGGAAGGAGAATTCGGAGAATGAAATTCGGTGGATTCCATAGAGGTGGAAGGCGACGGAAGATACCTGGAAGAGATTTCTCGGCTTCTGTGTGGCCGGAGTTTCGCCGGAGAAGTGTTTTGAGTCTTCATCGGAGTTCGCTGGAGTTGGAAGAGTGTGTTTGTTTGTTTTGCTGTTATGAAACGGTTATTAGTGGAAGCGGCAAAATTTATGCAAGAATAAAGAATATTTCGCCGGCATAGAGTGAAGTTACTTTATTACTCTTATTGTTATGTTACTAATTTGAGGGATTGTGATTTTTGAAGTTGATTGAGAATAGTGTACAGTGGTACAAATAGAAGAATAGGGTTTCCTCTGTTTTAGGGTTGAAACTTAAAACCCTGTTTAATGTATATCTGCCATTTGTTTGAAATTTTTTCATAGTTGAAATGTTATTTTAGTTTTTTTTTTCTTTACTCAATATGTCATTTAAGTTGGTTGCTTTAATAGTAAACAACCTATTTTTTTTCCTTAGAATTGTGGGGCTGTATTAATTTAAGAAGAAAAAAATTAGTGATATTTTGACCGTCTAAAAAAATTTATAATGTTAACCAACTACGACTGTGAATTTTAGTTATAATTTTAAAAAACTTATATGATATAACAAAATTTTATGATAATGTAAAATTTACTGTAACTTCTTTAAACTCTTAATTTATTGTAGTCGTTGTAAATATGAATTCCTATAAAGAGAGTATATCGATGGATAAAATAATTGAATCAAGTTTATCCGTTGGTATTAACATAGGCTAGAAGGATATTAAATTGAAATAATATTAGATAAATTTAAAATTATGTTAGTAATATTATTTAAAAAGGGTTAAATATACGATATCTTATGTAATATAGGTCGTTTTACTTCAGTAATTTTTTTTTAATCTTCCATTTGAAATATTTAAATATTATGTTTTTATCAGTTAAGTGCACAAGTTACTCTTGTAATTATTTTTTTATTTACCCCAAAACTCAATGTTTAAATTGTATGCTTAGAGGATAATCAAAAAAATAAAAATGTTACAGGGAGCATCAAAAAAATATATTACAGAGGATAAAGTAAAAATTGCCTACATTACATAAGGATATTATATATTGAAATCAATATTTTAAAAACCGAAGAGGAGAAAGAATCATTAAAATATATGGGTCAAGGTTCAATCGGTTTAGCTGGTTAAACTGTGGTTGAACCGTATATTAAATTTAAAATAAAGAAAATAAATAAATATATTATTAAATATCCTAATAAAATTAATTTGTATCATAATTTGTAAAATAAAATTCTCAAATAAATATGATACTAATAAACAAGAATACAAAAGAAGAAGAATGCAATATAAGGCACAATAACAAATCAGAAAATTAGTTAAGTATCAATATTTATATATTTATCCTAATTGCTTAAGTTAAAACCACAAGTTCTTTAACAGTATAATTTTTCATATCTTTTACAAGACCAACATCAGTTACCCTATGTACACAAACATTACATTATTTCTTCTCTTTCAATTTCCATTAACATTGTCTCATGTCTTTCAAATTTATTCTTTATTTTTCATCTATACAATTTTAAATGTTTGCTATAATTAATTTTTTTAGATTTAAACTGTTCTGGACTGGGCATGCGTTTGGCCCACCGTCGAGCAGGCCCAATCCAACGCCTTTACTATGACCCAATAACATACGGCCCGAGTCGGAAATCGTTGGGGAATTCTCCACATGTCCACTAAGGAGACGTGGCCAACAGTTATCTGAAGTTACCATCATCATGTCCACCGAGAATGACGGGTCCATAACTTCCCTACTATCTCAGAGTACTTGACCAAGGAGGAGGCCACGTGCTGGTTTCCACTACTCACGTAACCCTGACAGTCTTTGTTATTGGGCCTAACTATCCGGCCTAATACATAGATCTTGGCCCAGCGCTGGGGGCTATAAATATCCTCTCGTACGAGCGGGTCAGGTACATTGATTACTACTCACTTAAACTATTTGCTTGCATTATTGTTCAAATACTTACTTTAGCATCCGAGCATCTTACAGGTACCCTCCCCCTCCCACTTCACTTTCAACCAATGTTCAGTCCAAGCTTGTGGGTCATCGACGATCCCTTCGGATCAGGTATGATCAATGGTGTGGTCTGTAGGAATCACTGCTTCCCCGTCTTTTCCTAACTTCTGACCAAAGCAAACTCTTTCAACCTCATGATCATCATGGCCGCTCAAGCCAATAACAGGTGACCAGAATACCCACTTTACCAACATTGGCAACAATAACACCAACGTTGGCATTCTCGAGCACGACATCAGGGATGGAAGAACTGCTTCCTCTTCCACCCGTCCACATCCTCTGAACGACCCTCACCAGCAGGTTGAGGAACCCATGGTGTAACAAGAAATTCCAGTGCCCGCTAATGTTGATCCCTCGACCTAGGCCCAGATTGTGGTGCTCAATCAGACCAATTACCTGCTCTTCATGTAGGGTGAACGCCTCACAATGCTAGAGAGTGCCCGCTAGTCACGATCCCCCAGAAAGCACAGAAGACATGATCCAAGTAGCCCGTCTCCATGACGACATGAAACCCGTTCACGATCTCCTTCGTGGAGACACCAACAGTAAGATTCTCGCAGCTCTTCTCTTTTTCGTATCGGGCGAGGCCCTCGGCTGGAGAGGACCCAGCCTGAAATTTCCAAGAAGCGCGATCACATACCTCCGTGCAAAGAGTGACGATCCCCTTCTCATAAAATGAGCAAGGGCAAGGAAGAAGAGAAGAGAACTCGAGCAAAGAATTATCCCTTCCGTAGTGACCACTGTTTCGACCACTCCCTGTATCGTTCCCCAGAACTAAGGTCCACTATCCCAAGCTATTATGGAGGCTCCTATTACCAAGGGGATGGAGAAACCTCCACCTTTGAACAGCTATGACGGTGCAACAGACCCCGACGACCACCTCAACAGCTTCGAGGCAATGCTCCACTTCCACAATGTCAGGGGGATCCATCAAGTGCAGGTTATTCCCTACAACTCTGAGGAAAACTGCCATGGACTGGTACAAAAGCCCCCCCCCCCCCCCCCCTCAAGTTCATCACCTCATGGGAGAGCCTAAAGAGCTAGTTTTCCAGAAACTTCACAGCCTCTCGTTGAATGGTTCAATCATGAGGCCATCCAAGTACCAACTACCGACCACATGAAGAGGTACTTGCTCGAAAGAGGCCTTCTCCCAGGCAGCAACTTCTGGAAGGCAGATGGCATCGAGCCTCCCCAATCATTAGATGAACTCCTCCATAAAGCTCGGGCCTACATCACGTACGAAGAGAAGGAGGCCTATAACAGCGCCCACGATTCCAGGAACCGTGAAACGCCCAGTGCCTTGAGGCACAGTGATTCAGGACCATCTCAATGAACCGAGGATAAGAGAAAAGAAGAAAGACCCCACGACTCCCGCGAGCACAGAGGTCCAGTCGGATGCTTCACTGAGTACACCCCACTGACCTCTCCCCACAAGTGTATCATCGCGAAATATGCCAATACTGAGTTCAAGGATGGTGGGGTTAGACCTCAAGCCCGAGGTCAACAAGACCAAGTGCTGGGTTAAAGAAGGTGTTTTGGGCAGAGGCTATTTCGACAACAACATATATGATAAACATATGTCTTTTGACAATATTAGATATGAAGATACCTGAAGAAGTTTGTTCAGGACATCCACCAGATCTCAAAAAAATTAGAGTATTTGGATGCGTAGCCTATGCTCATATTAGGAAAGACAAGGTCAAACCTTAGAGCTATGAAATTCATGTTCGTGGGATACCCTAAAGGAGTCAAAGCTTATAGGCTATGGTGCCTAGATCCAGTCACAAAATGTGTATCACTAGTCGAGATGCAGTTTTCAATGAATTTAAGTTGGCTTTCAAGAAAACTGATAACATTGGTCAAAGTGCAAAGATATGTGAAGAAGAGTTAGAATAGGGAGAGATTATTGTTGAGGTGGAGCATGTCGATGTTGAATTGTGTATCCCAGATCAATTCAAAGAAGAAGCACAAGATGGTGAAGATACTGAGGAAGTTAAGGAAAATGTCAATGACTAACTATTGGAAAGAGATGGGCTGAAAAGAGTCATCAAGCCACCTCTGAGACTTGGGTATGCAAATCTCATAGCATATGCATTAATCTTTGTGAGTGAGGTTCTAGATGAAGAACCTAGAGATTATAAGGAAGTTATGAGGAGTCGAAATAAGACTGAATGGATGAGGACCATAGATGATGAGATGAAATCTCTTCATGATAACCATACTTGGGAACTGATCAAGAAACCTGTTAAAGCCGAGTTATTCAACTGTAAGTGGATTTTCAAAGTTAAGGAAGGAATTGAAGGAGTGGCGTCAAAGAGATATAAGGCAATATTGGTCGCAAGGGGTTTCACTCATAAATAAGGTGTCGACATCAATGATGTGTTCTCTTCTGTTGTGAAGCACAGGTCCATTCGAATGTTACTTTCCATGGTGGCACAATTTGACCTAGAACTAGAACAAATAGATGTGAAGACTTCTTTCTTTATGGAGATCTAAATGAAACAATCCTAATGAGGTAACATGAAGGGTATGCAGGAAGGGAAAAGGAAGATTATGTGTGAAAGTTGAATAAATCATTATATGGACTGAAACAATCTCCTCGAAAGTGGAATAGAAGATTCGACAAGTTCATGGAACACATGGGTTTCATTAGAAGTCAATTCAACCATTGTGTTCACTTCAGATTTCGACTTATATGGATTATATTCTCATAACAAGCAACAATGTCGAGGATGTAATGAAGGTGAAGGCTAAACTCAATAAGGAGTTCGACATAAAGGATCTGGGAATTGCATCCAGGATTCAATGGATTGACATCTGAAGAGATAGAAAGCAGTCAAAATTATGCTTATCTCAAGAGGCATACCTATAGAAGATTATCGACAAGTTTGGTATGTCGAATACAAAGTCTGTTGTGACTTTGAAAAATCCTTAATTCAAGTTAAGTATAGATCAATGTCCCAATACATAGGTCAAAAAGCGTATATAAATAGCATACCATATGCTAACATAGTAGGTTCTTTGATGT